TAGCCCCTGTCTTAGGCTATAGGAACCCTAACTCTTGCATAAGGCTGGAACTAACCCTATGCTAAAGTGTGGGGTGAGGGGAGGGTACAGTCCGTAACTAAATGTCGACATTTTTCCGCTTTTTAAAAGGAAATCACGAGAAATAACTAGCAAGCATGATTATTTAGACCAGAAACAAATGATTGAAGCGACTTTTTGTCAATTTTTCGAAATTTCAAAAATACCCTAAAWCGTCACTTACGTTGTTTTCAAATCCGCGCCTTCAATTGTTCAAAGATTTTATTCACTGAAATATGAACATAGCCTGCGTGCAGCCGAACCAAAACTTGTTGTTAACATAACAACAAGTTTTGGTTTCGGCTGCACGCAGGCTAACAYGAACAACGTGTTTTGAACTATTTGGGCCTCCTGTGTTGTGATTATCATTGTTTGGGTTTCCTGTGCTAACGTTCTCATAAGCGACCATCTCTCTTAAGCGACCACTTTTTCGTGATCCCGAGGTGGTCACTTACAGGAGAGTTGACTGTAGGACATTTTACAGGGGCGGCTTTTGATGTGCAAGCTACTGTASAGTATATAATATTATACATTTTCAACCAAAACTTGTTGTTATGTTAACAACAAGTTTTGGTTCGGCTGCACGCAGGCTATGTTCGTATTTCAGTGAATAAAATCTTGCTTGCTAGTTATTTCTCGTGATTTCCTTTTAAAAAGCGGAAAAAAGTCGACATTTAGTTACAGACTGTACCCTCCCCTCACCCCACACTTTAGCATAGGGTTAGTTCCAGCCTTATGCAAGAGTTAGGGTTCCTATAGCCTAAGACAGGGGCTAGGGTTCTTTGATTTAGGGTTAGGGTTAGAATGGTTTTCATACTTCTACGTGTTCCACTTTCAACTCTATAAGTACCAACAGGTTATGAATGGTATAATAACAGGAGGTCCATTCTATAAGGTACATTCTACACATATTAATTGTTGATCACATTTGAAAAATATTTTAAAAAATGGTTTTTGAATAAAAATGTGATTGTCATATACACTGTTTCATTGTTAACTATAATATTGTAAAAAACTTAAATATCAAAGAAATCGAATAGTTCCCTCTTAACTTGAAATATGGCCACCAACACTCATTGTGATAGATCAGAGGCTGTGTCATGACTATTTTTATATTGGAAACATTAGATATTTCAAAATAACAGAAAAATGGGTAGGCCATAGTGTAGGCCATAGGGTGGCCCATAGGTAGGCCATGGACCCGGGCCCAGGTTTTTTTGCAACCCTGGAGCAGGCGGTGTTGGACACAGCGCGAAAAGGATCCCTAAAATTAAAAAATGGTTTCATTTGCCACTGACCTTTGAGCTGTGAGGAGCTCCATCGGAGTTGATTGAAAGGCAAAATAAAGGCGATATCTGAGAAAAACTTGAAACGTATCCTGAAAATAAGTAAAAACTCATAATAGAGCTCAGTAGTATATAAAAAAGAAAGCCACAATCGTTGCCAAAATACCTTGGACCGTAGAATTATTTGCCTTCAGCCTAATATTTTTCTCCTTTATTTTTTGACAGTTTTCCCCCGTAGCCCCCTTTCATCAATGTTGGGTCTTGTTTTGGATGCTTGTGTACTATGGTAACATGATGAATGACAACATTGCATTTAGGGGGTCAGGGGGGATGAAATTGTCTGCGGGTGTTGCTTAAAATGAGGAAATTCGCTGGAATGGTCCAAGGTTTTTGTCAACGATTGTAG